GTTTTTACTTTTACAACAAGCACTCTGTAATCATTACATGGGTAAATTTCGGTGATACATCCCAGTTTCCATTTTAAGGAAGGTGTATTATCTTCCTTAATGATTACTAAGTCGTTTACTTTAATATTGCTGCTGAAACACGATGCCATTTTGTGCGAACTTGCAGTTGAGTCAAATAGTCCTTAGACCATTTCCTCCAGAAGGACTGCGACATTTGCTGAACTAGTTTCCAATGATTGCGAAGTGTTAGTGTCTCGTCGCGCACATTTGGTTCCGGAATAGTGTTTAAAGATGTTCCTATTAAAAAATAACCCGGTATAATCACGGAAAAATCATCTGGATCACTTGAAATCGCTACTAATGGTCTTGAGTTCAGACATGCCTCGACTTCTGCTAGATAAGTATCAAATTCTTCAAAAGTTAGAACTTGAGAACTAATTGCTCTTCTCATATGATATTAGCCTTTACTGCGGCTTCCCACAGTCCACCAGAGTGCAGCACAGAAGGCGGATTGAAATTCCACTTAATTTCTTCCTCTATTAAGTATCTAGCTATCCTTTGGTCCGAATGATATGATTTCAGTTGTCTGTTGGCACCTATAAAATTAGTGCCGCAATCACTGTACACTTGCTTCGGTCTTCCACGTCTAGCAATGAATCATTTTAGAGCTGCTGCTATGAAGGAATCTGTCATCATGTCTCCAACTTGTTCTAAATGCACTGCCTTAGTACTAAAACATACGAAAACACAAACGTAGATCTTCACTGTCCGAACACCGCGCCCTTTCCTCGGTTTAACTTGGAAAGGACTCGAAAAATCCACACCACATTTCGAAAAAGCTCTTGCGGGATTCACTCTGGATGCTGGAAGATCGCCCATTGCTTGATATGACAGCTCACTTCTGTGTCGACAGCATGTTACACATTTACGAATGATCTTGCGAATGGTTGCTTGTGCATTAATAATCCAATATCTCTGCTTGATTTCTGAATGGAGCATTTGTGCTCCTCCGTGAAGATATTTATAGTAATAATATCGTATTATCAGTTCTGTAATATAGTGTAATTTAGGCAGAATGACTGAATATTTTGCATTCTGCGCGATGCTAGCATTTCTTAGTCGTCCTCCCACTCTTAGAATACCCTCATCACCTAAGAATGGATTCAACATATTGAGTTTACTGCAAGGACTCACTAGTTTTTTCTCTTTTTCAAATGATCGATTTCTTCACTAAATTCTTTGCATTTGCACAGACTTGATTACCCAAGAATGTGCTACGGCTAGCTCTCTCTAGTCTGGAGAAAATTTGATTTTGTCCTTGTTATTGATGACCGTTTCAACACTGGCAATAAATCTGAGACACCAAGCTATAACTCGTAAAAGTTTTGTCCAAGAAGAATATTTATGAAGCAGTTCATCAATCACAAAATTCTTAATCACAGTAGTATGCACAACGCATCCCTTTCTCTCAGTTTCTACTACTTCCAGTGGGATATCCTTCAGTGGATGCTTAGGGAAAAAACTATCTTTTCCTTTTAGCCAATGTGGACCACACCACCAACGATCACCTTCCAACAAACATTGAGCTGGCACACCCCTACTAACTAAATCAGCAGGATTTTCCCTTTCCACTGCAATGATTCCAAACCTGGGATCTGATTTTTCCTGCACTTCAACCACTCTATTACCGACAAACTGTTTCCATTGTTTCGCAGAACCCTTTATCCAAAACAAGACAATTAAGGAATCAGTCCAATACACAAATTTATCAATAAGATCCTTAAAAAAAACCTCTCCCAGATACTTTCCTATTCTAGCTCCTATGACTGCTGCCATTAGTTCCAATCGTGGCAACGTCAATTTCTTCAAAGGAGCTACTCTGCTTTTCGACATGACAAATGACACGGAAATGTTCACCCTTATCATTTAAGTAACGACAATACGCTACAGCACCATAAGCTACTATAGAGAGACACATCGCAAAATACGTGTATTTCCATTTTTTGAAATTAAGTTATCACAACAGTGCACAAATAAATTTCTCGGAACTGAAATATCCTTCAGATATTTAACCTCAGAACTAACCAGCTAGTTCACTTGATTTTAAGGTCATCTGGCAATTTCTCATTCCCAACCCATACCATGTTGCTCCCAAATTTCCTGTAGCAAACACTTAATCCTAACTACAAATGGAGCTGCAAAACCAATTGGATCAAAAATCATTGCTGCAACATGCAAGACATAACGCTTTGTGCTCTTCAAACTCTTTAAACTATCCATAATCTTGCTATATCTATGAAAATTTCATTTACTGGGTTCCAGTTCAAGCCTAAACCTTCAACTGACAATCAGAAGTACAAGTATCATCGCTAAGTCCATTCTGCATCCACAATGACCTCAGTTTCTCAGAATTAGTTTTTTAATTTTCGCAAAATCATACTTGCATCCTTTAAAATCGACACAGCTTCAGAAGACAGCTTAAACTCTTCAATACTATTTCCCCCAAAATATAAATCATCTACATACAGTGAAGAGTTTAACATTTCAACACATTCGGGTTTATTATTCCTGTACTGTTTTAAGAGCTTTTTTATTGTTGCACTTAAAATAAATGGCGATGACTTATAACCAAATGGCAAACGTGTCATACGCATTATTTTGTAGTCTTCATTTGCATTTTGTGATAACCACAAGAATTTAAAAAATTTTCCTATCCTCTTCTGAAATTCCAATCATCAAAAATGCTTTCTCTATGTCAGCACAAAATGCAATTTTGAATTTCCTAAAATTTAAAATAACATCCAGTCCATTGGGATTCAAATTCAGCCCAGTCTCTAAATAATCATTCAAAGAGAGATTTAGTTTCGCCTTCGAACTACAATTGAAAACTACGCGAACTTTAGTAGTATCCTTATTGGTTCTCACAACTGCTCTATGTGGCATGAAATATTCCTTCACATCCCTAGAACATTCTTCAATTATTCCTTTACTCTGTTGATCTTTAATTATGTCCTTGTATTCATTCGCCAACCACTCATTATTTTCGAAATTGTTTTTTTAAGTCCTCAAGTCTTTTTTTAGCAAGGCAAAAGTTATTTTTTAAATCCGTTGGCTTCATTCCCCATAACAAACAAGTTTCGTATTTTCCATCTACAAACCTGAAATTATCCTCAAATTGTTTTATCAAATTCTCATCTGCAATTGATAACTTATTAGAATCTAATTCCTAACGATTCTAAATTCCATAGCATCTGCATATCAGTGTCAACGCAAAAATTTGTCGATACTATGTTTCCCCAAATTTCATCCTCAGAATTATTTTGTATGTCCTGGAGTGTAAGGCCAAAAATAGTTTGTATGCAATTTAGTGTTTTGGTTATTTTTTCTACTTTCGACTCTTTAATGACATCCCAAAAATAATCTGCTCCTATTAAAATGTGAATACCTTCATCTGAATCCGTGCATGCCTCAGCTAAATTTAAACCCTTTTGCTCAAAAATATTTTGAATATTTATACTGGGAAATGCAATTGGTGCGGAAGTAATAATTTCAATAACTAATGCTTCTATCTCAATATATTTCTTAGGATCGTTCCTATTCCTCAATGTTAATTTTACTACTCTGTAAGTTCTACTTATGGCTTTCGTAGACCCAAAAGCATAAACTGACAATTTTTCCTTTCGAATGGTTTTAAGGCTAAGGGCATCTGCCAAAGATTTTGTTATCCAAGATCTTTCACTCCCGTTATCCATTAACACCCGACATAGTTTAAAGTTTCCTTTTCGAAAAAGCCAAGACAGTACAAGTTTGCAGTAAAGGCACTGCCATTTGAACCCCGCTGAGAGGAGCTGCACTCAGTCACCGCGTTTGAACTCTCCTTCCTCCTTCGACTTCATCTGCTTTATTACTTTTTTCGCATAGCAAGGAGTGGTGAGCTAAGCTGTTGCAGTTCTTGCATGGGTCGAGTTTAGTTTTACAGAATCGCGCTAAATGGAATTTTGAGAAACAGCGAAAACATCGATTATCTCTTTCGTAATCTATTTTTCCTTTCTGCGACACTTTCAAATTCGCAAAATTCGTGTTCTTTGCTATTACAAAAAATGCAGTTTCTTTTAACATTTGTAGTATAACTAGCAATTGATATATTCCTATTAGTATTAAGCTTTTTATTTTCAAATTTACTAGAATTACTTTTATATTCATTACCAAAATTATGATAATTTTCAGCTTTTCTACTAAATAAATATGTTCTTTCCCTAGACCTTATTTCTTTGTCTAAAAAGGTAAATAAATCCTTAAAATTCCAATCACTATCTGGATACGCTCTATTGAATTCTAAAACAAGTTCTTTTGGAATTCTTTCTAACAAAATGGGAATCAATAAAGTGCTGAAAGATTTTGTTTCAACTCCTAACGACTCTAAACTTCTAATTTGAGTATCAGCTTTGTCAAACAACCTTAATCTATCAATTACATTAGTTATCTTTTGTTTCCAGAAAATAATTTTTTCTGAATATTCCTCTGACACAGTAATTTCCTCTTCTATATCATCACAATTACAAAGATTTTTCACTTCATCGTTTAATCGTTTTAAATTAGTTTCCTTATCTATTATTTGGGATCGAAATTCCTTTAAAGTATCTACCTTATTCATAACATTTTTCTCGGTAGAATCTTCCTTAACAAAAGCTTCAACTTTGTTAATTAACTCAGTTAACGTAGACCTAACTGTGCTACGCTCCTTTCTCAACTTAGGTAATTCCGACATTTTACAACAATTCAAATTTCAAACAAAACATCAAAACAAAGCCTACCTTCACTTCCTGCAAAATTCCACAAATTCCCAAACAAAGCTTGCAACTAAACCACTAGAATCCACAGCTTCCAAGACCGACTCTGTCTCCTCACTGGTGGCTCCAAAAAATGTGAAGTATGCTCCTTCAAAATTGCTCCACATTTTAAATAAATACATTTAATGGGTTTTCATCCGCAGAAAACCCGTTAGTGCCGTTGCATTTTTACTCGCCAAGCTCGTGTTTCATCGGCGATGAGCCGAGCCGTAAACGTGATTTTTAGTGCATGTAAATTCAAAGTTAACAGACAAAACAATATATTTAGCATATGGTAGTAAAAATTCACAGATAATAAGCATGTATATGTAAAACTAACTGGTTAAATGTGATATACTAAATAAATTTGTATTAAATTCAAGTTAGCACAGAAAAGAATATATTAAGTACAAGACAATATAAAAGCATTTATAACGGAAATAAAAATTCATTTGAAAAATATAAATTAGTATTAATGTACCGAAATTAACCAGTTAAACGCAATTACGAAAAAAATTTGTCTTAAATTCCAGTTAATACAGAAAACAATGTATTCCTTACACCAGCAATGGTTTGCTAATTTTGATGACCATGGTGATGCATCAAACTATTCTGTCATCTTAGATAATCAATAATATTTTTTATTTCAATTTAATCATCTATTTATGTCACCCCAGCCATCCTCTGAAAGGTTATTATTAGAAAAGCATTAACAATATATTGTTAAAATTTAAGCCAGAAAATTGATTTATTCTCATTTTAGATGACAATAACCAATAATAAAAATAAAAGCATTACTTAGTTATTTAAATTGCTGGTTCTTAGAGCTGTTAATAATTAAGAACACAACGTGAACTGCTGTGTTACAAATTAGCATTCACCCCTTCCGCCGTACTTTCTTCCTTTCATCCTGAACCGAGAACCGGCATCTATCTACGAAAATATTTCTATCCATTCGTTGTTAACAAATTCAGAAAAAATACTAATAAATAAGAGAAGAATAATATAAAGCTGCAAATGCGAACAACGACAGTGATAATTCACAAAATGAACCCAAGAGGAATGGTTGCAAACTTCGAACAAGCGAATAGGATAAATCCGCTGGGTTACCAGGTTTGAACTATTATTGCCAAAGTTGGCGATGTTTACATTTACCGGGTTCTCTGCGGAAGTGCTTCCCATTTAATTACATTATATTACATAGTACAGTTACATAGCAAATATGCATTACACAGCTCTTCACACTACATTCTCAAAACCCACGCCAACTCTCTCTCAAATCGAAACTTCTCTCACACAGTTGAGGGGTGCTACAACGCCCTCTATGGGAGATCTCAACATAATCGTTTCATTATATGTGTAAACATTTTACTGCAATTTCTTCCAGTACAGTCAAAACCAAAAGTGTATATTTCAAAATGTTTTGTGCAACAGCTCTTGTACTTGACTCGGGTCTATCAGCCACATTGTTCAAGATGCTTTCTAAAGTCTTGGATTCTGTATAGTTGACCAGCATCCTGTCTTTACAAAGTTGCCGATGTAACCGCTGGAACATTCTGTGATCCAGCATTTGTCTCTCAGGAAACAGCAAAACGGCTGTACATGTAATGCATGTCTGCTTTTTTGGCATTCGTAAGCTCTCTCATCACTGATGATAGAAAGACACGACTACTGCCCTCTAATGGCAACAATATTTTCTATGGAAATTACTAATATGCAAATATGTTTCATGACATAGTTTGAAGTAAGATATTTTTAAATGAGTGATAAAAGATTCTGTGGATGCTGTTCTTCGTCTGAAGAAGTTCATATCAGATTTTATAAGAATTAAATCTCAGGAAGCATCAGGAACTCCCAAAATTGATGCCATTCTTAGGAAGCGGGCAGGAAAAGGAGCAATTATTGATCAAGCAATGTGATAAGGAAGTATGTATTTGATGAAAGAGAAGTTGTTATAATTAAGAAGTTTTTTAGAAGATGCATATAACCCTATTGTTTGACTAGCAAAAAGACTGTGGAATGATCTTGCAGAATTTGAAACTCTTCTTTCTACACCGTATATAGCCACAAAAAAGGTGCAATCTGAAGAATTGACAGGAGGCGAGCATGGAAGAACGTGATAATTGTTCTCTCTGAAATGGAGGGTTTATTGCAGAAGGAATCATTTCTTCAATGAAGAAAAGAGAAACTAGTTTTCTAGACAATGAGATCTTGCTGAGTTCAATATATGTAGATCTGTAACACCGAATTTTCTTGGATGACGAAAAAATTAAAAGGGCAAAGAAAACCATCTTTGAACTTTCAGTAAGAATGAAATTATTCTCAGAACAATTGGATAATTCGAATCAGGGCAGTCAAACTGCACACATTGCAACAGAGTCTCCATCATCCTCTTCCAATGATAAATTAGGTTTTGAGAAATAGTTTTGGATAATATTGAAAAGGCTTAAGGCAAAGCGAATGAAAATAAAGAACCAAGAGCCTTTGCATATAAAAGTGAAAAAATACAAACAAGATTTCTACACAATCTTTGAAGAAATAGAGAAATATGTCTGCACTTGCAAGACACCTCTTTTAGAATTTACAAAAATCTATCCTGAAAAGTTAAAAGAAGTAGCCCTAACAGTAACAGTTCTTCTTCCTACTCAAGTTAGTGTGGAAAGACTCTTCTCAACTCCAAACTTTATTAAATTGGATCTATGGCCCTCCAACAAAGGAGATCTTGCCGAAGCAATACTGTTTCTTAGAAATAACTAATGCCAATTTTTCCATTTCATAATAAATGCTAATTAGTATAAATAATTTGCTATTCCATAATTTTTTTCTGTAGCATCTATTACTTCTTTTATATTAAAAAAATAAGCTGTAATCCATGTGTATATGTTTAGAGTCGAGTCAGAGTCTTTAAAATTCCAGGAGCTGGTCATTGTCTCTACTGACACAAAGCCCTGGAATATTATTCGTATCTTCGTTCTGTACCTACCCTCCAAGTTCGTACCATGAATTTGGTATCACCCTCTCTATGAAATACTTAGTTGATTATGTATGAAATTAACAAAGCAGTCTCAAATAAAAGCGTTTAATAGACTTTGTTGGGCAAGAAAAGCAGTCTTAGAAAAAATATGATTATCGACACCTTTATTTCGTATGTACCCAGCTATAGTGGTCACCTTGACAGTTCACCTTCAATGGGAGCTAGTGGCTCTAAGGAGCTCAATGTATTTACAGATTTTGGATAATTACCATTGCATCAAACATTTAAGACATTTCATATAACAGTTTTACATATTTTTAGAAAAACCAATAGAACTACTTACTTGTTTTTACTGTCTGATGTATTAAAATTATGCAATGAACTTGAAAGAAGATTAAAATTATAATGGATCCCATCAATATCAAAAGCACACGGTTTTTGCAGCTTTTGACATGCTAATGATGTTTCCCACAAGAATACAGTCTTGCATGCATATTTCTGAAATTAAAGACATAGCTTTAAAAACAGATAAGTACTAATCTATAATTTCATGCCTCTTTGAAATACATAACTATATGATATTTTTTATTTAATTTATTTTAAATGGACATTTTATTATAGAAATATTTTTACCTCCTATTATGCTTTTTATAACCATAAATGTAATAACTTTTTAAAGAAAACCTTTACTAGAAAGTGATATATTTACCAAACAAAGAGCAACAATACTTGTATAACTGATTTGATGAAAACCTCTAGGTACATCAAGGGAAATTAATTCATAATACAAATCCTAATGTTTACTGAGGTTTCAACACTTCACCTATCCATGAGCATTACAATAATTGGTAACCTTAAAAGATATCGAATTAACTTTTTGCTTACTTAAATCCAAGTATCTATAAAGATCAAATCATCAAGTACCTCAAGTGCCATTTTAAATATAATGGCACTTGCACTACTCTAAAATAAAATGTTGTAACATCGCCAAACTGCCAGGATGGAAGACATTGTGGCAAATTGTCTTTTCAGATTTATTTTCAAACTTAACAGGTGATGTTCTAGGTTACAATAAGGTCTGAATTAGTATACAGAAACAACATAACCACATTATTTTGCAGAAGGGTAAAACAAAGCTTCCCAGAGGCAAGACAAGCCTTACTTCAACAGCATCTTTCAGGCAACCCCCACACTTCTTTTGTTTCAAAACATGAAATGGATACAATGCAGGGCAGCAGTACAGAAATTGCCTTCAGTTTGCTTCACTTAGTTAAGTCTACATTTATTCGCATGAGAAAAGTAAACTCATTAATTGCGAACACATGTTATTTGACCCAAATCCTTTCCTTTCAGGTGGAGGGGCAGTTATTGGAATTATTTACATTATAATTACTATTTCTATAGTCACAAAATATCAGCTAAAAAGATGAAGAGAAAACATAGATATTTACAGTTTGGTCAAGTACCATGAATTAAAAATGAAACTTTATATTGAGAGCAATGCTAAAAAATACTATCGACTAAATTTAAATGCAGTCCAACAATATATAATCTCACAGTTTTTCTTCACATAAGGGGTATAATGCATGTATCCTTAAAACATTACATTGATTTATACATTTATCCAGTCTCAAAAGGAAAGATTTGCAGTTTCTGGAAGCCTCTTGGCAGAGATCGAAAAATTATTTCTGAATTCCAGCACTTAATGACATCAAAATAATCATAAATATTTGAATTGGCATCAACATAAAAAATAATTTCATTATCAATTTATCATCAGTTATGAAACAAACATGATTATTTCCTTTAGACATCTCCTTATATGACTTTAACATAATGAGATGACTAATCTTCCTTTCTTCACTGGTAAATTTATAACACAATTTGTTTCAGACAAACCACTTTTGAATTTCCCAATCTCTGTTTAACAGACAAAATTTTCATTGGTTTGTAGAAGACAGAATTTCATGCCAACTCAGCAGATGCATTTATTTGATCTATGTACACTATGTTACATGGGCATGGTTACAGGGTTTTCTAGTATATGTACACAGATTACCTGCCATGCAATTTGAACTAGGTAAAATATATTACATAGGCTCGGTTACAAGGCCCTTGAAGAAGTATATATTCACAGCATACATTACTTAGAGAGATTATTTTTACTGTTTACCTTGCAACAGTACCCAGCATTGTAGTTATATTTCGAAACTGAGACTGTCTCTAGGTGGTTACTTAAGCCACTGTAGATACTGTGCTGTAGAATTGCCGTTTGAGTAATTAGTTACTACTATTGGCATTATCTCAACTGTTTCCATTCTTTATGATGTACACTGCTTTAAAAAAAAAAAAAAAAAAAAAAAAAAAAAGACAGTTCTATATCTCTTGTTCTACTGGGTCGATTCACGAAATTCAAATTGTGTTCTTTATGTCTCGAAAGCGTGACTTAGGATATATACTAGATTTATATATAACACTATTTTAACATACGTATTTTGACACAAAATCGGACCTTTTCCTGAAATGACATACAATTTTTCTTACATATTTCTCAGACTCAGATTATACCCAGATACTAAATTTTGTAAAATTTGTTGCAGAATTTACGGAGAAATTCAACAGTTTATGTTGACAATTTTTTTTTTTTTTTTAGTTGCGCCAAGAATTGTTCGTTTGGAGAACTTCTTAATATATGGCAACCTATTTCTTTTCCCTTTCTACCTCGTGCGTGAGGGGGGGGGAAAGTCACAATCATTCCTTTTTTCAGAAAATGGTCTTTATATTATATTTTAAATTATAATTGTTATTATTTTAAGTATTTTTCTTTTTTGAATTTCACTTTAATTGTTTAAGTTGCATGATATCTTTCGAATAACTATTTTAAAAATTTCCATTTACTCACTCAAAACTGCGTAGTTTAAATCAATGGTGCATCGTTTATTTATTTATATATTTTTTTAAATAGTTTTCTTTATACAGTCAAAAGTCTTTAACCCGGACTCGTCAGGACTTCGGTGATTCCGGATTATCAGTTTTTCCGGATTATAGATCATCAATTTAAATCTGATAAGATGGCATGCAGAAATTATAAAATTAAAAATATGAAACCGTAATTTATGAAGTAAAGAGCAATTATGATCTAAAGGGTATCAAAATTTACAAAAAAAAGCTTAATATTTATTTGTTTACTTTATTAAACATTTCTTTCTATGGTAAGTTGTTTCGTTTTATGTGCTTATTATTTCTCTTTAATTCTACAAACAGACATAATTTCTTGTTCAGTTCCACTGTTCAAGTCCGGTAATTGCTGTGTCGAGAATACCGACTAACATGTCAATCCAAATTTTTTCATTTTCAATAACCTCTCTGTCACTTTCTTCATTATTGGAAGCGGTACATCAAAACATGCTTTCGCTTTGTAGATCTTTTGGCAGCTCCTGAATCGGAAATTCTTTTTGACTTAATCGAAAGTTCAAGCTTACTTTTATGAAAATGCTCTAACAGTTTGCAAAAAATAATAAGCCGGATCCAATTAGAAGATTAAGAAACAACGCAATCTGCAACATTACCTGAAATAGATAATTAGATAACTTTAGTTTAGCTTATGCCGTCCGTTATATACCTGCATGCGTAAACGTATTATGCGCATGCGTAAATGTATTATGCGCATGCATAAACGCATTATGCATTTATGCATGTGCAGAAAGTTTGTAGCTTTGAGGTCCAGATTATGGACGTCCGGATTAAAGACACTGTATAATACTCAATGAAAGCAAGCAGATGTGCATAAATGTAATTTTTCTCCCGATCGAGATGTTTTCATATCACTTTCAAATACTTGCTGGCTAGGAAGATTGCAGTAGCCAATAACAGTAAATTAACCAATTTCATATTGATGTTGGCCAGAATTACTCGAGTGGTTTACATATTTTAGTGTTTTGCTGCTTAGTGCAGCCTTTGTGGGTCCTAGATTCTGCTGCCTGGTGATTCTATGTGTTTTGGCAGAATGGCAGCCAAGGTTGCGTTCGAGATGGTCTAGAATCGAGAATCGTCTTACTTTCAATCTAATAAGTATTTACAGTCAAAAGTCGTTAATTCGGACACCCATAATCCGGAATGATCTATAATCCGGACCCTAAAGCTAAAAACTTTCTGCGCATGCGCCGCGTCGGCACATGCGCACAGGCGTTTTACGCGTGCGCGTAAGACCTTGACTACTGCGCATATGCGTGTGCGCAAGTGCAGAATACTTTTTTGCCTGTGGTATAACGGACGGTGTAAGCTAAAATTATCTAATTATCTATTTTAGTTAATGTTAATGATTGCGTTGTTCCTTAATCTTCGAATTGGATCCCACTTATTATTTTTTGCAGACTGTAAGAGCAATTTTATAAAAGTAAACTTGAACTTTCGATTATGTCAAATAGAATTTCCGATGCTGGAACTTCCAAAGGATCTACAAAACAAAAGTATGTTTTGATGTCCAACAAACAAAAAGTGGAATTGCTGCAAAAAATGGATAAAGACATGAAGAATGTGACAGAGAGGTTAGTGAAAACGAAAAAATTTCGATTGACAAGTTAGTCGGTATTCTCGGCACAGCAATTAATGGGACTTGAACAGCAGAACTTTGTAACTGAACAAGAAATTATGTCTTTTTATAGAATTAAAGAGAAAGTATTATCACATAAAATGAAGCAACTTAAAACAACTTACATTGAGAGAAATGTTTAATAAAGTAAACAAATAAAATATTAAGCTTTTTTTTTTTTTTTTTTTTTGTAAATTTTGATACCCTTTAGATCATAATTGTTCTTTATTTCATAAATTACGGTTTCATATTTTTAATTTTAGAATTTCTGCATGCCATCTTACGAGATTTAAACCGATGATCTATAATCCGGAAAAATCGATAATCCGGAATCGCCGAAGTCCCGACGAGTCCGGATTAACGACTTTTGACTGTATTAGATTTAAACTAATCACCTGAAATCATTGAAAGTAAGACATTTCTAGATCTCTGTCTTTCCACTGTATTACACATGGCATCCACTATTCCATCCTTGATATCAACAAATCTGAAGTTGTGGTTTCATTAAAAAGTTACCATTCTGAGAATATCCCAAGTAACGGATCATGGATAATGAATGAATGCTGGAGATTATGTCGAAGTTATGTATAAGTTAATTTGCATTCCCACTGCACATTTGTCACCAGAATTAAATTTCTAACTCCAGCACTTTTTGTGAATCTCAGAGCTTTTTTTTTATATTGATGATCGCCAGATTACTTGAGTGGTTGTGAAAGGGGTATGTATTTTGGCATTTTGCTGCTCAGTGCAATCTCTGTGGGTCCTAAATTCTATCGCCTGGCATCTCCCTAAGTTATAAAAATTTTGCCGCCCTTAAATTCTGCAGACCAGTGCCTTTAATAAATTCTGGAAATTCTACCATCCCTAATTTTTTTGCTTGTTGCTTCTGTAAATTCTAGGAATTTTGCCTTCCAGTGCAGCCACACCAGCTCTAGTCTAGCCTTCCTGAAGGAGGAGTTTGCATTCTTCTAGTTGACCTAACCCATAAGCAAAGCCTCAATGCTAACATTTCTACATTTCAGCTTATTAGACTTAAACTGACGATCTGAAATCCAGATATTGCCAAAGTCAAGATGATGATGGATCTCAGTTTTTGTACTGAATTACGCATACCGTCCACTATTCCATAATTGACATCGACAAATCTGAAGCTAATGATGTCATTATAAAGTTACCAGTCTGAGAATGCTGGAGATTTTGTCCAACATTATTCTTGACCTGTATAAGTTTAGTCCTATATAAATTAATCTGGGTTCATCTGCTCCTGTGTGATCAGTATTAAATTTCTAACTTTAGCATTTTTTGTGAAATGAAAATACTTTTAAGCTATCAAACTATGTACAATTAAATATGTTAAGCAGCTAAATAGAACTGCCAACCTACATTATAATGTAATAAATCAGTGAAAAGCATAATCCAATATTTAAAATTTTAAGTAATATTGTAGACACTTACTTCTGTAGAACCATCAACCTGAACCCGACAAATTGCAGCCCCTGGAGGAAATAAAAGTTCTGGTAGTTTTTGTAATGAGTTACAAATACTTATGTAATATGAAGCATTATCATTTAAAACACTAGATTCTGCTAGATGAGATGTAGCTGCTATGCTTGTCAAATCATAATACTGGCTTCCATTTTTTATAGCACTATGTAACAACGTTTGACAAGCAAATTTAGTTTTCCAAATAAAATAATATGTGCAATTGTGGGTTTCCTGCAAAAGTTCAGGTTCACCTATTCCATGCCCACAATGAAATTTTATTAATGTTTTTCGTGTAAAACGACTATTATGGCATAAGTCAGCATTACTGTAATTTAAAAATATAATTCCATTGCTGTATATCAAGTGGATGTTAGACTTTCCACCACTCCAGTGCTGGGTTGTGCCAGTTAATATTTCCTGACACATGCCAGAATCAACATCACATGGACTAGTATCATCACTACAACACACACTGAGGTAATATTGGTGATTATCTTTTTCATACCTGAATAATCCATGGTTTTTTAATGATGAGAGATTAAACAAATACCCAGTAAAAGGCTCTTCGACAGTGCAATTACCACCAATCTTTGGTGATTCACTTTCACAAGCATATATGGTATGCCAATCAAAATAGTAAGTACACCCATTGCTTCCTAGAAATTCTGGTTTGCTATCTATACTGTTGTGATCACAAATAAATTCAATAACTGTCTGCATGAATCTTTCAGTTTCTGTTCCTTCTGCATAACAAGGATCTCCAGAAGTATAGTTTATTTTTAGCTTACCATTATCTATATATGGTCCTTGACTAACTCTACCAAGATTTACTGGTTCATCAACAGGATGGTTTGAAATATCAACTAAACACGAACCAGAAGTATAAGGACAAACAAAATCTAGTGCAGGCACTAAACTACGGCATACATTAATCACAAAATGTTTTTCATACAAAGGATGTTTAACATAATAATTTTTATTAGGTAGAGATAATCTGCTTAAATCATAATAAGCACCATTGTCACCTATAACAGAACATTCTACGACATTAAATGGTGGGCATGCATGTACAGTAGGCCATTCAAATAAGAATGTACAATCTTCAGTTTCTGACACAAAGTATGGTCCAACTTCAAGAGCTTGGTGACAAGTAAATATAATTTTAATAGAGCTACTGTATTTCCCATGACAATAGTTTGCATCTGATGTATATTCGAGAGTAAGTACCCCATTTCGATAAACAAGATGATCATTTGGCAGACCGAAGCTTATTGAAAATGAAGGTTCTTTAGGTTTTGTTTGACAAGCACTTGAATTCATACATGCATTCTTGAAGCCGTTTAATTTGTCACAAACATTAAAATAAAAGTTATATTCACCTACAGTTAAATTGTAATTATTTTTATTCTTTAGAGGATTTAAATCAAAAATGTATCCAAAGAACGGTTCTTTAATTGTGCAAACACCACCAACACTGTTTTGAATAGGGCACACAACAGGAGTTCCTAATGAGAAAATATATTCACATTCTGGAGTTTCTCTGATAAATTTTAAGTCTTCATGTTCTCCAGAACAGAAAAAATTTACTGTTGTACTACGCTTAAATTGACCATTATTACAATAGGAACCATGGGTATAACGAAGAACTATGATACCTTTATCATTCACCAGAGGTTCATTCATTTGTGATCCAAGATCATGACCTATACTTCCATTTTGCAAAACATTAGTTTGACAGGCTCCTGAAAAGCCAGTAGGACATTTATAACCATTAACTTTGTTCAAGGGTCGACAAATATTTATATGATACCTTAAATGTGAATGGTTTGGCCTACTGTCTGCAACCTCCCAATTACCTTCTCTATACTTTGTAAGAGGACTTAAATCATATTCATTTCCATACTGATCAAACACATTGCAATCAAAGTGTGAACGGATACAGGTCAAAGGTGTCTTCATCTCAAAAATATATTGTCTATTCTTATCATCATACATTATGAATTTCAGATGTGGATCTGCTGTTGTGTTATGACATGGAAACTTTATTATCACACCTTCTTGGAAACTTTCATCAAAATACTTGTAGGTAATTGACAAATCTCTCCCAGTAGAATAGCTAAGAAAATATGAATCTGATACAGCTAAATTTCTCACAGAACCTTCTGAATCAATTTCACAGGCACTTACATTTTCTGATAACTGTTTTCCATTAGAGGACAAACACCCTGACTCAACTTTACCACATACATTAAGCTGGAATGTAGTATTAAAGTATGTCTTTATTGTATATGGCTCATCGACTTTCCAAAGAGGAGATCAAAAGTAAAACCAGAATCAGGATCAGTTAACTCACAACTTTCAAAAGATTGTGAAACACCAGTCGGACAAGCAGCTTTAGTTCTCCACAAGAAGGTATATTCACAAGCACTAACTTTACTTAAAAACTGTAAATCATTTTTACTCATTTTATCCTTTGCACATAGAAAATGTATTACTGTTGAATAAGTAGCATTTTCACTATATTCAGTACAAGGATTTCCATTAGTATACTTGAGAATAAGATGACCAGGACTCTCTAAAACTGGAAGGCTGACTGGCTGCCCCAAATTAGATATAACAACCTTCTCTTCTCCCCCAACCTTTTCAACCATACATGCAGCAGCACTTGAATCACAAATTAAAGGCTGAGTGAGAGGTCGACAAATACTCAAATAGACCTTGCTTTCCTTATTATCTTCATTTACAACATGTACCCAATTGTTTTCATATATAGATAATCCTGAGAGATCATAAATTAAATGAGAAAATGGATCTTGAACCATGCACACAGTCGAAGAGTTAGTGCAAAGTAAACTAGTATACCAATGAAAAATGTAAGAAAATCCATCATGCCTAACAAAATGGGGACTTCCATTTCCAGCATTAAAATCACAAATGTAAAATATTTTAGCGCCACCTTGCAATGGGTAACTAAAGCGATGAAATGAATTAATAGTCCCACGATTATAATATAAACCAGAAAAGGAAATAATCCATGATGAAGAATTTATTTTGTCCTCATGAAAAATACCATGCTGTGGCTCACAAATACGAATAAAGAATTTGTGAGATTCAGTATCAACTTTGTATACTTTATGTTTAAGAGGTGAGAGATCATAATTAATACCTCTATTATCATCATGTATTTTACAGTTAGCACCCTCAACAAAGCCTTCTGGGCAAGCTCTAGCAGTGTGCCATTCAAATTTATACTGGCATTCTGACTCATCTATATGTACCAATACTGGTCTAGAATCAAGATCCCCAAATCGGCAAAAAAAGTTTATAGTTGATATCCACTGTTTTCCATCTTTGCAAGGGCTTCCACCAGTATAAGTCAATCGGACAGAATCTGAAATAATATCATAAATTGGTGGTGAAGTAAAGTTTCCTAAATTCAAATATTTACCATTGCTATCCAAAACACAAGCAGAAGAACCTTGACCACAACTACTTAAGTGACTTATATATGCCACCTGGCCACAAACATTCAAGTAATACTTCGCATTATCTTTATGATTTATATTTCTTCCATCAATGGCTTCCCACATTTTACCATCCCATTTTTCTAAAAATAATTTTTTAAGATCGATAGTTTTGTTTTTAAAATGGACAGAACAGTGCTTTGTCCATTTTAAAAGTATAGCATCTAATGAAGGTTTTACGCATGCATGTTTTGTTTTCCATTCAAATGTATGAAAGCAGGGATCTGATGATATATGATATGGCACCCCATTGCCATTATTACTAGCATCAAAATCACAAAGAAACTTTACTCTAGATGACTCATCTGTATCATTATCACATGATTCTCGTCCAGGATAAGTTAAGATCACTATATTATCTGCATATATAAGATGTGATCCTTCTGTGGTACCAATTATCACAGATGAATTTGTTGTTCCATTGGCGCAAACAGATGTTGAGTTCCAATTTTTACCACTGCAAGTAAAATTTTGAAGTCCAACACAGACACTTAAAGCGAATGTAGAATTTCCAGAAATACTGGGAATATTAAAAGCAGGCCATTTTATCAAAGGGCTCAAATCTATTTCAACTCCATTAGATTCAGCTGTAAACTGACAAGTTTCCACACTTCCTTTTAATACATTTTCAGGGCAAGCATATTCAGTGGACCAAATAATCTCATACTGACAGTTTGATGTGGGACGACGCAGCACAGGAAATAAACTTTCATTTCTCTGACGGCATTTAAATATGATAGTTGTCTTTGGTTTGAGACTACATCCTTTAGGTGGCTTTGAATATATTTCATCTGTTAAATAAGACAATATTAGTCCTTCCTGGGTATACTGAAGACGCCCATGTGGTTTCCCAAATGATAAACGTTCATTCCAATTAACTCTGCATGCTGAGGAGTTTGAACCACAACCCTCATCACCAAATATCTCAGAACATATATTAATCATAAAATGAAAAGCCTCTGAGAAAAAATTAGTTACAGAATAACCTCCTTTCCTTAAAATCAGCTGAGACAAATCTTGCTTATTGCCTTCATTATCAATAACATAACAAGGAACTTGATGAGTTCTAGGTTTGTTGATGCAAGCAGCTGAAGTTCTCCAGAAGAACTTCACTTGACAATTACTCCATAATATAAGTTCTGGTGCTCCAAGATTCGGCCCACATGCAAAATTTATGGTAGCTTGATATACTCCACTTGAACCACACAATTCACTAGTACGAACATAAAGGGAAAAGCCAGTATCACCATTGTCAGAAATTCTATAATCAGACGGACTTTCAATGGCCTTTCCAAAGCTAACAGCTTTTTCACCTGAAATTTGACAAATGGAACTTTTTGGACACCCTTGGCTAAGAGAAAATTGAGTATAGTTGAGAGGATGGCATATACTTATTTCATAGTATGTAGAAGTTCCATTTATCTTTGGCCCAGATACAGGCCATCCACCTGGCCTAAAAAAGAAAATAAAAAATAATTAATAATTATTTGAAACCACACACAAAAAAGTAAAGCTTTGAAACCATTTACTTACATATTTTTTATCGAAAGAGAATTACAAACTAGCAGGATTTTGGGGAGTCCTGCATTTACAGACTGCTACACTAAAAATGTACCGAGGTTTCATTTTATTGCTGCTTTTTAAATCAAAGCAAAATATCTTTATTTAGGTATAATTTCTTTTAATAGTCCCTGTTTATAATTTACTATAATGACAAATCTAAATTTCTAATGCATCATTGTGTAACAAATACATTATTTTTACTGTCCACATCATAAAAAAATGCTGTTGACATTTTATAACTAAACGATCTTTAAAATACGAACTGTAACACTGAACAAAATAAATAAATCAATTTTGATAGAAATTACAGCCAATGATAGGCAGATTAATTAGAGTGTAATTTTGTCCATGCTTCAGAATATTCTCTGATCAAAAACAAATGTTCATTTAAAAAATAAAAATTAAAAAAAAACTTCAAAATTTCTTTCAATCATACAAATAAAAATTCGTCTTAACAATCCAAAACAACTTAATCATTTAAACTTAAACACAAACAGAAATTGTTTTTCAGCCAGGTCATCGGAACTGTATACTACTAGTCAAACTACGCATAACAATTTCAACCCTACAATTGATTCATTCTACATGAAATTATAAAATATACTGTGCTCCTAACATAAAAGTAAAACTTTACAATTTTCAAAACATTTCATAATGATTTTAATAATAAACATCTTATTAAACTATTTATATGTAATGCATGCTTATAACTATATTACAAGATATAAAAACAAAAAATTTAGAAGTTTAAAAATTAATTTTATATGACCTTTAAAAATGATTTTAAAGTGAAAAATGTAATTAAATGTCTGCAGAGCCTCTCTTATCACACATTATGAAATGATGCCACTAAAATATTAGTGGATAAAATCTTGACATAAGCCCCGTTCACAAGAGCAAATTCGACCGGTAGAGAAAACCGATTCTTCCAACGTGACCCATTCACAAGGCGAACAGCATTAACTGCTTCTCCAAATTCGAGGTAGAATTTGGTAGAACATTCCTACCTCTCGGGAGCAGGGCAAATGGGGGTAATTTCCCATACTGCATTGCGCGATTGCACTGTTCACTTAATTTTAACAAACAACATGGCTGACGTGCAACTGACTGCTCAGTGGATTGTCAGCAAAACAATCACGTTGGTAGATATCTGGGGATGTGATATTCCAAAAAAAAAAAAAAAAAAAAAATTACATAGAACCGTACGAAATACAGAAATTTGAAAACAAGTATAGACATAGTTATCTGATGCTGGGTATTCCAGAAATACTGTTCAAATTAAAACTAAAGACATGCATATCAGCTTCAATGTGACAAGGAGACTCGGTACCTTTTGAATTATGTTTTTATTTAAGAACTTGCATCTGCTTTTTATGAATATTATTAAATGGTTTTGTGATTTTAAGCTGAAAAAAAAAATTGCCAATAATTTTTTTTTATTTAAATTTTTGGAAGAAAAGTTTAACAATTAAATTATCTTTCTTCTCTTACAATTTTCAATGTCCCCCCCACACAAATTTTCTGATTGTATTTATTAGAGTGTTCTTAATAACTTAAAGGATAGATTTTGAAATTAAGGAATTACTAATTTCTGAGTAAAAAATAAAAACACATTCTTATGTAAAAACTTTGAAACAAATATGATCTGAATTACATTTTCACTTCAAATCATTTTTGTTTTCAGTATTTTGTAAAACCCATCCCTGTTTCTATAAAGTATATAATTTTAAATAAGGAGTAAAAATATTTAATTTATTCCATATCTATATAATTTTAAGGACTTTAAGTAAAATGATTTATCACAGAAATGTAAACTGAGAAATGCAGTTTAAAGAATGTAAACTATCTAAATAGTCATTAAATCATTTCAAATTTCTTAAAAATTTTATCACTGAATTTCAATACATGTATATATAATAAAACCTAGTGCTATACAATTGGTTAATATAAACATAAATTACAAGTTTTTATTTAAAGTCTTTGTAAAACACTTTCAAAACAATTTTAATATGTGAATTAATTACAATATATTTTCTAAAACATTTATAATCAATATTAAAATATTTATGATTAATATTAATAATATTAATTTGTCATTTTATTCATTTTTTCAAAAAGGAAAGTTCGCAATTTTAACAGCCACAAAGTATTGTATTTAAAACCGTTCAGCAGCATATGTGATTTCTTTTCTTCTTTTAACCATTTGGTCTCATATATAAATTGCATTTAAAATTAATTTAAATGTATTTTGTTTAATTTAAGAGTTGAACTCCAATGACGTTCTATTATAGCAATAGTAAACAATGTGAAAGAAGATGTAAGCAAACATTAGAAATCCGACAAACCGATTCGCGTTTGTGACATCATTGCTTATGGTTTAAGGGATGGAAGACGATGTGCATCTGAACCGGTCCTGAAAATGAAACTGCTTCATATCCCCGTTTCTCTCTAACACAAACGGTGGCGGTGCGAAAGAGTGTTGCATGTGAATGGGGCTATAAAGTACCCACTGCTTATTAAAATCACTTCCATTTTAAGCTTGTTTGAGTTTATTAAGTGGCTGAGTTTAAAAGACAATGATTTGTGCACTGCAAATTGTGAAACCAGTTTTAAACTTACCTTGTAAAATATTTAAAGAGAAATGCCAACAGTACTCGGTATTTAAAATAGGGATTTACACAATCTCTTGGAAGCTTATTGGTTTTATTACCTATATATTTTATTTGACAAAATTATTTTCAAATGAAGCCATGAAGCCTCCTAAGCTAGAAATTCATTTGAATAAAATGCATGCATTTTAAAGAGAGAGACAAAACATTTATCCTACTTTCAAGGACTCAGTAGGAAATATTTAAACAGTTAACTATATCGAAATTTTCTGGCACTAATCTTCTAAGCAAGAAGACAATGGATTGTGAGCTTCATATAATATTTCAGTGTTAAATGCAAAAGCAAGAAAACCATACACAATATACCAGGAATTCTGTTCTTCATTCTAAAACGCAATCAGATTTCATGAGATAAATTCCTCTAAGTAATAATTCAGTGAAAAGAATAGATAAAATTGGCTAAAGGTGTTGAATATCATTATGTGAAAGATGAGTGGATAAAAATTCATTACGTTAGTACCCATTCAACTATCAAATAACAAAGCACTATTCTTATTATGCATTCTATTCATAAAAGAAAAAAAAAAAACTTGTCAAGAGTAATTATTTACTAAAAATTTGGAAATCAATAATTAACACCATGAACAAGTTTTTCCAAGAAAAAGTAATTTCTTTTGATAACATTTTGTTAGCTGCTACTGATGGTGCTGCAGCATGACAAAGCATTGTTTCACAAAACATTTCAAATAAGCAGTAATAGTTGCACTTAATGTACATTAAGTTATTCATTGTCAGCATTTGAGAGAAAAAAGTCTGAATGAATACCTGCATATGTCACTTCATTACTGTAGTCTCTAGTTCATTTTGTTTATTCCTTTTTTGTCCAAGAAGGAAGGAGGCACTTGGAAACTTTTCCCCAAATATTAAATTTACTTTCCACACAATAGATATATAAAATTATCATTTGCAAACACATTTAAAGTTAATATTAATACACCTAATTTTAGAGGTTCACTTCAGCTGTACAGTGCACCTATGGCACACAGTTGCATGCCTGCTGCTATCATGCAATTACTTCTCGACTGTCCAAGGCCTAATTGAATCAATCTCTGTGGCTCGCCAGAAGGCAATTTTCCTTCATTTTGATTTCATTTTCCCCTTGAACATGATAGGGAAGGGAGTACCAGACATTACAACATTATTTACAGCATAAAAGTGTGTGTGTGTGGGGGGGGGGGAACAACGTATTTTGTATGAATCTTTTTTTCAATTTATTTGAGTCAGTACTGATTTCCTCAAAAGCAGAGATGAAGCAGTGCCCGAAATAAATAATTACATCCAAAAATTGCATCGTTTATTTGATAAACTGGTTTAAAATATTTTATGAAGTCAATTTATAATTGCAAAAGGATAAGTTGAATATAATTAAAACTAAAAACATTACAGCTGCTTTTGTAGAAAAACTTCTTCAAAAGAGATCCAATAGGTGAACACAGCAGCTTTTCCATATAATTAGCAGTCCCTGCAAAACATTTACTTACTTACTGTCAACATTTAGACGTTTCTCATGCTAATTTTATATAGCGATTCTAGGATAATTTAAATATGAATATATTGAGTTGAGTAGTGGCAAGCGCGTCTTGGGGACTAAATACTGGGGTTCCTGCGACAAGCTGACCACTCGCCCAGAGCATGTGCTGATACACTCCGGGGCCCAAAAGGTCAAGAAAGCAGAAACAGGGAACTGCAGGCTGTGGGACACTAGGGCTGTTGTGCCACCGAGTTGGGTTTATACTCAGTTGGGTTTTTAGATGCTTTCTTTCACAAATTCAGATATAGCAGAGTAATGAAATTTAAAAGAGGAACTCGTAGAATTTATAGCTAACAAAGGACCAAAAGTAGTAAATTCAAAACAAATACAGAGTGTTTTGGCCTCCTCGGTGATTGCGGAGATTTGTGCCCAGAGGGCGCACCACACAAAAAGTTAGTTGCGTAACAGAACGTAAGGGAAGCGGACACACCAAAATGTCCGCCGTATTACCGCTAATTGAGGTAATTGCATCGTATCTGTCAGGTGGCAGAAAACTAGTATGATGTATCAATTCACATGCCAGGTGGCAGAATATGTCTATCATGTACATGCCAGGAGGCATAACGCTTGTAAATATGCCAGGTGGCATACGACTTGTAAATAAATTGTAAATAAATGTACAGTAAAATAGCTTGGTGCAATAGATCAAGGAACAAGCATCAACAACCTTCTGATCATTTGGATACGTAC